CGAGATTTCATTAAATAGAGCCAAGTCATACGTGAATAGTCATCAACAAAAGTAACAAAGTACCGGAATCCGGGTTTTGACACAACCGAGCAAGGACCCCAAACGTCAGAATGAACCAACTCAAAAGGAGCACTTACCCGTAGATTTATTCTAGGACTCAAACTAACACGATGGTGTTTAGCAAAACTACATGATTCACATTCTAAAACAGAGAGATGTTGAAATTGAGGACAAATTTTCTTTAACAGGGACAAGGATGGATGACCAAGACGATAATGAATCTCAAGAGGTGACTCAATCCCAACACAAGCAGCTGCTTTAGGAATGGAAGTGTTGAGAAGATACAGGCCATTAGTCTCACGTCCTTCACCAATAATCTTCTTCGTCGTAAGATCCTGAAACACACAATGGTCAGAAAAGAATGTGACAAAGCAATTAAGATCACGAGTAAGTCTACTAAGAGACAACAGATTAAATGAGAAATTGGGTAAACTCAAAACAGAAGACAGATGCATATTTGGAGTTAGGATAACCGAGCCTGACCCAAGGACCTTAGATGTGGAACCATCAGCAAGGGTAACAGGGGAATGAGATGTGTAGGGCTGAAAAGTGGAGAAGACACTAGGATTACCTGAGATATGATCTGTGGCTCCGGAATCAATAACCCACTTGGAGGAAGACGAGACAAGACAAGCACTATCGTTACCTGAATTCGTAATTGCCGTCATAGAAGGAGATGATCGCTGCAGAAGTTCCTTGAACTGGAGGAATTGGGCATACTCATCTGTTGAAGTAGGGGGGTTAGAGTTTTCACCAGAGGCAAAGTGTGCAGCTCGTCCCCTTTGATTCATACGTTGAAGTTTCCTACAATCACGCTTAAAATGTCCCTCTTTGTGACAATAATGACAGATTATGGGCTCTTGATTCTGTGGGGTGCCACTACGAACGAATGACTTATATGGTTGCTTTGGTGACTCAGTTTGCATCCTCTGACTTATAAGAGCATTCTGGGGTGCACCATCTGAAGGCTCTATGGGTTTTACACTTTCACTACGTTGAATCCGTGAGTACCCATCCTGTAAAGTGGGAACCACAGAGTCTGCAAGGACCCTTTCTCTGGCAGTCTCAAATCTCGGGGCCAAGCCTGCCAAGAAACTCATTGTTGCCATCTGCTCTCGCTGTTGTTGCTGAGTTTTGACATCTGGAGTGAAGGGCATCAATGAATTTAAGGCCTCATATGTCTTCTTGAAGTCCATGAAGTATGCTTGAAGAGATTGATCCTGCTGGTCTGCCCGATAGAAAGCCTTACATACGTCATAGATACGAGTAAGATTTCCCTTACCTGAATATAGAAATTCCAAATAGTCCATCAAGTCTTTAACTGTTTCACAATGGCCAACTAACCCAAGCACATCCCCATCAATTGAGTTCCGGATTTGGAGGAATAGTCGAGCATCATCCCTCAACCACACTTTCTTAGTAGTTGCATCCTTAGGAGGATCATCAGTCATATGATCGTCCTTGTCAGTACTTCGGAGATATANTCAGACATGACACTAGACTTATCACCCATTTCAATGGACTAAAATTTGAACAAAACCTGATTGGCAGAGGAAGACAGAGCAAAAATCACCCACTGAATGTCCAAACTGAGTCTGCACAGGTGCTTAGATGACTCAGGCGACCCTGACAGTGATTTTTGACAGTGGATCTGACCAGCACTGGCTGGGCGTGAGGTCTCCAACGAAGGAGAGATTCTCCAGAATTGTTCACCTGCAACGTGTGACTCCACCCACGGTGGTGGTGACGTCAGGCGAGCACCCTTAGAGACAGCGTCAAAATGGCAGAAGCCCTTTTTTTTTACAAATAATGAACCCTAACCCTAGAGCACACTGGCTCTGATACCATGTGATTGATAATCAGAGGTGTTCCTCATTATACATTATTACATAATACAACATGACTATATATACATAAGAAGGGTGCTAATATAAGGAAACAAAATCTCCCATATTAATGCCTAAATCACCCATATTAATGACCAAATCAGATCCTGCCATATTCTCAGGACTTAACTAAAATACTAATATTATTACTAATAACATATATTAAAAACCTATGTCCTAAACCCTACAAAAACCTATGACTAAAATGGTGAAAGAAAAAGAAGCACTTCTAGAAAAAACATGGATACAAACATATTACTTTAATCAATTAATATTATATTATCATTTTTTATTCATTAAATTGTTCAGGTTTATATATTTTCATTAAATATAAAACGATGAAGAGTAAAGAAAAAAATGTGTGTGATCAACTATTGCTCAAAAACTTAGAGAGGAACATGTTTAAGTTAGCATATGAAAACTCTGTGGATGTGATTGAACTTTTATTTTCAATCATGTTTGTTGTGTTATGAGAACTTCATATACTTTTACTATCAAACAAAATACTCTAGAGAAGCTATTTTGTTGTCATTACTATTTTTTCCCTTTATAATAATACAAAAAAAATTTATTTGTAATTTAAAAGTATTTTTATTCATTTCACCCGTTTTGCACCTGTTTCACCCGCATCACGCACGAATGATAGATGCATTGGGTGAAGGATGGTGTATGGAACGAGTGATGGATGGGTTGGGTGATGAATGAAGAGTGAATGGGTTGCATGACAGTGAAGCTCCACCCGATCCAAACCTAAACCATCGACATCCCTAACAAGATGTGACACGACTGTTATTTTAACAATTGATTAACAAAAATAAGTTAAGAAAAGAAAAAAGAATGACCAGTGAATAGCGGAGTGAAATGATTAATTCATAATGGAGCGAGTAATATAGATCGTTCTATATCAGGTTATATTAATAGCCAAAGTTATAAATATAAAACTGGAAAAATCCCAGCAGGATGGAAGGGTAATAAGTTAGATCGTTACTTTTATAGAGAAAACACTTATTTTGTACTTAGTATTAGTTATCAAGTAATTAGTCCAACTAGGCAATTAAATCGCATTTAGAATGCTCATGAGGGTGATAAATGGCCAAAAATTGCAATATACCCCAATCTTCATTCCTTTATCTAACATTTTTTAATGATAAGAACATGTAAAATTTTGTTTCTGAAAATTTTATTGTACAACCACTGGTAGAATTTGTATATGTATTGCAAGTTAGTAGTGTAATTCCTCTATAGTTAACAGTATAAAATTTCAATTCTGTGTAATGGTAATGCACTTAGTGAGCAACTCATTTGTAGTTACTGAGTGTATTTATTTCCATTTAGGCATTAATCTTTTGCTAGGATAAATAAAGTTGAATGTTAGAAGAAATTGGAAGTTGAAAGAAACTAAAAGAAATTTGAAGGGGTTGAAAGCACCTGGAAGGAGTTGGAGAAACTAAAAAAATGGAAGAAATTAGAAAGGTTTGGAAAAAATTGAAAGAAATTAGGAGAAATTAGGAGTTGGAAGCAATTGGAATAAATAAGTTGGAAGGGGTTAGTAAATGAAACAAGTCAAAATAAATATTATACTTTTTCGATTTCATATTTTTATTAAAATAATATATACTCCTTCGCTTTCACTTTTTTTTTAATATTTTCACATTTTTTGTATGTCCCGCTATTTTTGTCTCAATATTAAATGTTTAGGTGACTCACTCATTTTAACATTTTGCTACTTTTTAATATCAATATTAACCACACAATTTTAGGTTTCCTAATTTGCGTGTTACAAGCCCATGCTTTATAATATTACCCCCCTTTTCCATTCACCTGTTCATACCATTCTTCTGCTGAATCTACATAATAAATGCAGGTCCCATTAATGGACAAAAGGGTGAATACAGTGGCAAAACTGGGATACAAAAAATGTATTGTGCCCAATTCCGCTGCAAAGTCCTTGACAAAGCTAGAGGTTGGTGACATGGAAATTGTGGGTTGCAGAAATCTCAAAGAGATGATTAATCTAGTTTTTTCATAGGTGTGTGTGATGCTATGTGGCACCCGGATACGGGATTGAGTACTCATTAAAATTCTGTGAGTTTTGTTTGTCATCCAAGTATCCGGATTCCGGAGTGTTTTGGGAATGAGAAACAACTTGAAGAGAGTATATAGGCCTAAAATAAGACATGGCAACCCGATTGATCGGATCGGTTCCAGTTTAGATTTGTTCGATTTGAATATCTTTTGGATATTTCTTATAATCGGTTCAGTTCGAATCAGTATAATTTTTGTTTGAAGAGATCTCGGTTTTGGATATCATATGGTTGGGTTTAATATTAACTTTGGTTGGGATATGTTACAGTTTTAGATATGTTTTGGTTCAAATCATTTTATATAAAAAAATGTATGGAATTAAAAAATAAAATTACATACGGAGTATTTAAGAAACATCAATACATTTTTAAAGCTAGAGGTGTCATAACTATATCATTTTATCCAATACTCAATGAAAATAGGCTAACCAAATGAGAGAAATTTGATCCTGTCAATAGAGATTAGAAAGATAATTTTTGGATGAAGGGAAAGAGGGTTTTTATACTCGCCGTCTCCTTTATATGGACATCCGAGGCCAAAAGGCGATTCCTTTGACTCGTACTGATTATAACAAACTTGAACAAGGTCAGGGATATCCAACCTAACAAGTTTAACATTATTAGATCCTACCATGATACATGAGTAGGTTTTTATATTGCCTCTATTAATTGTGGTATTCTCTTTCTTTTCCGACCTCTCTTGATCGAAGTTTGTCATTTCTTTTCAATTTTTCTCTGTCAGCTAACTCTAAATGCTCACTGGTTGCAAAATTTCTTTATAAATATTTGCCAAGATCTTCGTTTGAAACTCTCTCTTCTTAACTATATGTTTGAACTTATATCTGGTGGTAAGAATTGCAGGGGTTTTGTGTTCTTTCATTCTCGAACTGATAGAAAGTTTATGTCTGACCTCCCTGCCGGCTACAATGGAAAACCAAGTACATCTTCATTGAGTTTCTTGAGGATGATTTTCCCATCTCTTGACTTCGTTGGGATGACTAGGTTAGGGACTATGAGCGAACTAAACCTGAACTAACTCACGAGTTGGAATTTGCATGTGAGAAACTACTGGCCGATGATCCATACAGCTCGAAAAGGTTCCACCATAGGAGTTTGACGTACCATGTATCTAAGAAAGATTGAGGGTGCCCCCAATATCCAAAATGCTGAAAACAACAAAGAACCCTTCCCTGGGATTCAAGCTGAAACCAAGGGCTCTCATCCAGGTTGACTTCCCTTCCAATTTTTTGCTTCTTCTCAATCAAAATAAAAAAAACTTTTCAAGTGATAATGATGCGAAAAGGGGATGGTGTAAAAAAATTTGGTGTGCAGGAATTTTTTCATATGGGGATAAATGACTCGCTACTCCTATGATGATTGAAAATCTACTACTAGCTACATTCTCATTCTCAGCTCCAATTTTATCTCTTGGTATACGAAAAACCAGACTCGTGACTCTAGATCTTCTATTTCTATTGAGGTTGGATATCGTGCCATGGATGCGGGTGCGGTAGAAGCTATGTGGCTACGGTATATTATTGTGCTCTAGGCATTCCTCAGCTCCGTCAAAACCTCACCTCTACTACGACAATGAGCCTACTATATGTGTGACCAAGAATACTGTTCTCCATATCCCGAGAAAGAAGATAAGAGACTTTCTCACCCAAGGATACTTGATAAGAGAAATAAATCTCCCCACTAGGTCTTGATAAGAGAGTTATGATGCCACAAGTATCACATTTGATAAGTCTAAAAAGAGTATATGAACAAACAAAGCAACAACTTATATTAATCTCAAAACTTAAGCTGATTTACAATAAAGGAAGATGGTCTTATATAGGGTAGGCAATTCTCAAAATGAAATAAATTAAAATAATCCCTTCGTCCCTAAATAAGGCTCCTGTTCCGATTACGATGCTTAACTGAGGTTACTTTCAAATCAATATAAGTAAAAATTGAGGTAAAATTTAAAAATGAAAATTACAACTTAAAAAAGTACATCAAAAGTTTTACAAAACAAGTGGTGACGAAGTTATTTTATTTTATAAAATGATCGATAAAAGTGTATAAAGAATGTAGAAATAGTTTGACCTATGAATAGTAACTAAGAACCTTATTTTAGAACGAAAGGAATAAATAAAATCTAAATATATTATATAACACACAGATATATATATATATATATATATATATATATATATATATATATATATATATATATATTTTGGTTCTGGTGAGAATGCAATCTTAGAAGAGAAATGAGAATGAATCTAGTGCTTTAGATTGTGAGATCTAAGGGTCAAGATTTCATCAAAATTAGATGCACCAAAATGGTGCGAAAATGCATCACGTCGAAATGCACCATAAACCTTCGAAAATGCACTATCTCAAAATTTGAGCGCAGGATGCAATCTGAGCCGTACGATGCATCAGATCCGACGGCTAGATTTTATTCTCATTTCTCTCCACAAGGTGCATTCTCACGGGAACCGGCCCATATATATATATATATATATATATATATATATATATATATATATATATATATATATATATATATATATATATATATATATATATATATATATATATATATATATATATATATATAGGGATTGACTTCAGATGACACTTTACGGTGAGATGACATGCTACGGTCAGATGACGCAAAGCTCACCAAACTGTAAAGCAAAGCTCACCAGATTTTTTCAACACTTTAAATTTTTTTTTGAAAAAAAATCAAAGGGAAATCAAAGGGAGTGCATGTTGCTGACTAGACTTTGACCATTGAAGATCTAGAGTCACGATATCCAACCTCAATAGAAGATCTAGAGTCACTATATATATATATATATATATATATATATATATATATATATATATATATATATATATATATATATATATATATATAACTGAGCATTCAATGATGTGATACATCGAACAATCAGAAACTCTAGGGTCATTCCTGGGGAAGAGTTATATCTCAATGAATATATTTGTCGCCATTTCTATTAGACGACATTTTCCAGTTCTAATACAAGAATATCAGCATACATTTAAGCCCTCCAAGAACAAGTTACATCACATTACAGAAAGTCAAAATCAGGTCTCCAAACTGATACCAAACCCTTCATACCATGTAAGCAATTGGAATCTTAAAATGTCTCCCTGCCATTTTCCCGATCTAATTACTGTTTTTGTGCTGGTTTTGCTTCATTGGCTTCATTACTAATAGCATCATTCAAGTCCAAGAAACTCGGTTGATTGGTAGAAGAGAGGACTCTCGCCCACATCCTATCTGTTACCACCACCCTATTTTGTTTTTCTGTTATACGCTACAAAAAGAAACAGTCCATCGTCAGGAAATCTAAGTGCTAACACTGCCCCTTCAATGTCTTTATGAATGCAATAGAGTTCACGAAGCTCATTTTCCATTTCAGTAAGAGAACATAAGGTGTTATGTTTGTCATAGTAATGATTAAGGAAGCCAAAAAGTTTGAACAAGAAATGCTAGAATTTCTCCAACATACATGAATATTGAACCAATAAAACTTACTCTACAAGAAGAATTTCGATAAAATAAATAGAAGTGCTGCATCAAAATTCACAAATTCAGTACATGTTTAGAAAGAACATCTCTTTATCAGAGAGAAGAGTGCATGTTTTAGCACTCAAACATCAATTAGGAGTAAGTGAAGAGATCTAAAATAGATTTTGGATTGAATGGCATGGAAGCATGTCTTCCATTTAACATGTGGTAAAGTTAACAAACATAAAGTGCTCTGTATTAAATGTTTATAGCGGACTTACGAAGAATGGTATGTAAGCATGTCTCCCATTGACAGGGCCTACTGTGAAGCCAGTGTAACCGGCCATTGCACCATGAATGGCACTCTGAGCAAGAAGTGTACAGTAGACATTGTCTGATGCATTGCTTGGAATTGCACGGACCATATATGTTGGATCTGACATATGACTTGGGGCTTTTAGCTTTATGATAAAAGAAGATAAGAAGAACAAAACTTTAGTTCCTAAAGTTAGATATTTGTACCATTTGGTTCGCCAATTCCTTGTGCTTACTATTGCTTTCATAAGGCTCTAAAATTTGCAATGTGTAAATACCTCTAATAACTAATGATGTTAGCCTTTTAACAGGATTTTTACACATAAACTTTGATGTCCACAAATTCTCTACTAATCCTCAAGGGAAATCATAAATAAAATTAATCACAAACATTTACATTTATTAAACCTTTTCCATATGGCCTAATTTTAAGAGAACATTAATTTAATTTTTTTCTAAGGGAATTTCTTTTAAAAAAAATTAAAAAATTGATTTTCACTGAAATCAATCAAAATTATATAAATTTAAATTTCCCCTTCTAGAATATTTTGAAAATATCATGGAGGTTCATAAGCTTTACGTAATATTTATGTATAAACTAAAAACAAAACATTAACTTTAAATTATACAATGTCAGGTATTCCATAAAGATTAAACAAGATTGCCAACGTTTATTAATAAGCATCATGTTATGAAATTAATAAAATTGCTACTAATAATGCACTTTGGTAAAAATATTGAACATAAAAAGTCAAGTATTTAGGGTTTCACGTCTTCAATAAAATTTGGATGGTATTTCAGTTATATTCATAGTTAACCATAGCTTATTAGTTTTTCCAATAAGAAAAAGTTAACATGACTAGTTTTTCCAAACTTAAAGTGCGTAAGCACGATACAGACTTTAATGCTATTATATACACCCACCAGTAAATATACATAAGGAAAGTGGTGCTTGTTTCAAACGGTAGGGACTAAAAGTGCATTTATCGTAGAAAGGTACGCTTATATATACGAACCTATATATTTAAGGTTTAAATCCAGCTTTCCCTTCTCCTTAAAATGATCCTGCAATAGTACCGAAATAATATAAACGCACACAATCGACTACATAGCAGAAAAAGTGAGATATCAACCATAGGATTATAGGCAAGTAACTCCTTGTAAACAAAAAAGATACATTGTCCACCCTTGGTTACATCTAAAAAATATTTAGCATCAATAAATCAATACCTTGATCTTCTGTGATAACCAATGGCCAACATCTGGGAGCAACTTGTTCCCTGAAGGATCCTGTTGGAGATTTTTATCTTGCATGCTATCAGAAAGCAACTCCTGTCCTGCACCTTCAGCAATTACAATGACCATGTGGCCATTTTCCCGCAATGTTCGTTTTATGTATTTAAAGAGCCCACTAGGACCGTCCAAATAAAAAGGTGATTCAGGAATTAAGCAGCAGTCAACATCTCTGCTGGCAAGAGTGGCATACATTGCTATGAATCCTGAACAAGAACCAAACCTTGTATAAATATACAAATAATACAATTTTCACAACAAAAAACAAAAATACAAATATACCCTATATACTGCAGAACTATAATTAATAATACCACTATAGCGTCCCATCAATTTCACAACACCAATCCCGTTTTCTGCACTTTCAGCCTCTACATGTGCAGCATCAATAGCTCTTTGAGCTTCCTCAACAGCAGTGTCAAAACCAAAGGATTTGTCAATAACCTGATCACGCACAGGAGTTAGTCTGCCACATGGAAAATAGTTCCACCTTGCTTGGATGCTACAAACGTGAAACGTGGTATTAACTTGTTCCAGAAAATATATTTGAATACCGGTATATCATTATCAATGGTCTTAGGTATTCCAACTACTGAAACTTTGAGACCGCGCTTTCGAATTTCCTGTGTAATGGAATGCACAATAAGCCAAGGGTTTAAATGTAAATAAATTATTGCTACTGCCAAACCTTACACTGAACAGCTGAACCCTGAACTCGAAGAGTCTTGTAACTTGTCAGTAATATATTACCTCAAAGATCACAGAAGCCCCTTTCTGAGTACCATCTCCTCCAATTATGTAAACCTACATCACTTAATATTTTAAGTCTTATATCCCATTAAATCAATATCCCATGACAATTATATAAATGAAAGCAGTACTAATATAAACAAGGAAATGTAGGTAACCTGATTAATGCCACGATCCTGAATGCTGTCAACTATTTTTGATGTCACATAGCCCCCTCTTGATGTCCCAAGAATGGTACCACCACGTTTATGAATGTCATTGACATCTTTTGGGGTCAAAGTGACAGTATTTCTGGAGTAGAAGCCTTTAAATCCAAGCTGAGAGAACATAATTTAAACAATTAGCCTCTTCATATCTTCCAAACAGAGGATAAACACATCTTCACCAAACACTCAAAATTGTAACAGTGGCATACCTCTATTCCAAGAACTTTGTTCACACCGTACATGTTGTGCAGACCACACACTAATTCCCTAATCACTGTATTTAAACCAGGGCATAAACCCCCACAAGTTACTATGCATGCTAGCACTTCATCAGATTTGAAGTACACCTGATAAAAAGAAGACCCGTCAACCTTCTTCGACATTCAATACGGAGCACAAAAGCAGTAAAAATTAAAAGGGAGAGATCAGAACAAGAGTTGAACCTTTTGTCGAGGACCAGCACGTCGAAAATGAGTTCCTCTAGGGGAATGTTTGTGGACAACAATCTGCAAGCAAGACACAGTCACACAGGTCTTTTTATTTTCATATTCACCTCAGAGCAAGAACCAATGCATATAGACCTTCAATCTGTGCATATATAGCACAAGAAATCCACAGAGAAGAAAACTTTCAAAGTGTCCACATATTTTTATTGGATGGAAAAGGGATCAAGTTTAAGAAAAAACAGTCACCTTCTCGGTAACAGAATCATCCTCGTTTACAAAATATTGCCTGTTCAAGCAGAAAAGCATGTCAATGAAAAGCTCTGAACACAAACCTTAAACAAAGCACAAGCACAAACGTAATAGTTGCATAGCCCTACTTACTTAACAACCGAATAGGAAGGGTTGTCCTGCAATGGGTTGGGATAAGTCTGCAAAGAATATAAGGTGTAAGATAATCAACTATAAAAAAACACAATTAAAAATAGGTAAGGGGAATGTCCATCTCCCACACATCTGAATAAATCATCATTTCTAGCCATGAAATAAGCAATACAACGAATGACCATAACAATTTAACATCCTACCCACAAATTAGAAAATGCAATTAAATACAATCCAAGAATAACCACACTCTACAATCCAAGAAATCCAACGCAATGTACAAGAACACATAGTTTCCATGCAAGAAATATATACCCCAGAATTAGAACAATATCAACACACGAGAGGGGGGGAACTGATAAAGACCTAGTTTTTATGGGATTTAACATTTAACTGGGCCTGTTGTTGTAGCTAGAACTAAAAAAATCAGAGTGAAGAGAGAGAGAGAGAGAGAGAGATACAGGGAGATCGTGAATGTAATCAGACAAGTGAGGCACATCTTCCAAGACATAGCCAGAGTCGCCGTACTCGCCAGTCGCCATTTCAGCAAAGTTTTTTTCTTCCTTAACCAGAAGAAAAGTGAGGCGAATGCAAAGAAATGAAGAAGCAGCTGCGGTAAGGTCGGTTTTCGGTCAGGTAGGACCCCCTCAGGGGTTTTTCTTTTTTCTTTTTTTCTATCCAGATTCTTCTGCAATTTCTTTTGCGCCCTCGTGAAGATGCCACAATAAACTGGCTCAAAGTTTGAGGCTTGTTCTTCTCGACTCAAAGTTAGAATATCAACCGCTTATAAAATCTAATCGGTAGTCAAACTAGTCAAAGTAGTGAAAAAAGTTTAACCAAAATCCAAATTTTTAAAGATTCTAATAGATTATATTGAACCCATAGATTTCGTAAAGTCAATGAATTATTTATGTGAAATTTGTACTAAATATGACTAACACATAAATCATTTCTAATGTAGGACTTAAATTTTTTATTGTCTAAATATGACTTAATAATGATGACCAAAGATCCTACATTAGAAAATAAAAACATATGGTCTTATATTGAGAAAGTCATTATGTTTTAGTATAATTTAAGTAAATTACCCATTATTTATATATACATTTGAATTATTTTAAAAATCTTTACATTGTTCTAACATTAATTATTACTTATGAAATTGACCAAAAACTCTAAAAATAATAAAATAAATAAAAATAAATTATTTTTAAAACATTATTATTATTATTATAAAGCTCAACACCAACATATAAATAACAACAATTTCAACCAAACTTATTTTAAAACAACTTAATAAACCACAAGTATTCAAAATTCTCAACCCAAATAAAGTCACATAACACATTCAAAATAATGTCACACTACTCTTTCATTCATCTTAATATATCTTCTCATTTTATCCTCTTATTTTATGGCGTATCCAACTTAGCCGTTATTCAGGTGACATGTAACGCCCCGAAAATAGGTCTATCAGAATCAATTAATTGATAATTAATTAATTACTGAGAAAGACCCAAAAATATGTGATTTATAAAGTTTGTCAATAAATAATGAAAATTATATCGTTACGTAGAGTTTGACTGTATGACCGCAACGAATCAATCAGATTTCAATTTAGAGAAAGTTGGACCAAAAGTGTACCTAGACTAGGACAAAAATTAGTCCCAATCAGGGACTTGCGTTTGAATCGAAAACATCACATCCCCTCCACTCAGAAGTCAAAACAGTATCAGAGAGTTTATCTCCCATGTCTTCTTCCCATTTGCTCTACTATATAAACACATCAAACCTTCACCATTTTTTACCATTCTTCTTCCAAAAGAGAACTGTGAGTGTAGAGAGTAAAGTAGTGCTACCCAGAAAACTTCCCGTCGCCTGAGCTAGCCACAATCCTCGTTGGAAGTTTCGCCAAAAAATATCCAAAACTTTCATTAAGCTTCGAGGTAAGCCCGTAAATATATCTCGTGAATAGAGTGTTTGTATAGATCGTTTCTACGTTCATAAATGGTCATTTGGTTGAGTATTATGTTTGACATGTTTGAAAAACTAATAATCATAAATCATGAAATTGTTGTTAAAACTATGAATTAATGATACCAAAATGATCTATGAAACTTGGAGAACATTTCTATATAATTTAATTCAAGTTTGGTGACCGAAAATGAAGCAGGAGAAAAACTGGCCGAACGAAGAGGAAGATGAACAGTGATCGAAAACCAGCAGAGGGATCGATCCAACCTACTGCTCAATCACCTAGGGATATTTCCTAACCAAAAGAAAGGAAAAACTGCTCATGAAAATGTCCTTGAATCTATCAAAAGATTAGTCCATTGCTTAACTCTCAAGAGTGACCAAAAGAATGAAAAGACTGCAAGTTATATACTTGTATGATTATATGGATGTCACCTTTGAATTATATTTTTTTATGAATCTTTTAAACATCCTTATTGAGTAGTTATTTAGACATAAATAATCATGTGCAAAGTTCTCACAACCTAAAGTTATCTTCCTGCAGGCCTTGCCTTATTTTTATGTTACATGCTCAGATATCTTCAATCAATTAGACCAACTAGGTATTTTACATTTATAATAAGGTGTAATGGTAATTGTATAAAAGGGTTACTGAAAGAATTATTTGGGAGGAAATTCTCTGTATATTGAATTGGCTTGTGAAACTGGTTTTTAATACAAAGATCTAACCCTCTTTATATAGGAAGAAGGTAAAGTAAACAAGGAAATTTTTATTTCTACTAAAAGAAGAATTAGACAAACTAGGAAAGATACTAAATACTAAACCTAATGCAACTAGGAAAGATACTAAACCTAATCCCAAAGGGATTCGGTTTCCTTCTTTAACCTTGCTTCCTTCTTCTGTCTCTAACACGTTCCTTCTTCAATCTCGCTTCCTTCTTATATCTCTAACACCCCCCCTCAAGCTGGAGCATGGATGAAAAACGTTCCCTCGGTTCGGGCATCTGCGCAAGCTTCTCCGGCAGGTCCCACGTGCAATTCCTACACGTACAAATTGGGAACTGCTCCAAACCTGCAAGAAACGTTCCCTTGATTCGCGCATATACGCAAGCTTCTCCGGCAGGTCCCACATGCAATTCCTACACGTATAAATTGAGAACTGGTCTAAACCTGCAAGAAACGTTCCCTCGATTCGCGCATCTACGCAAGCTTCTCTAGCAGGTCCCACGTGCAATTCCTACACGTACAAATTGGAAACTGCTCCAAACCACAGAAACTGAACAACAATCGATGGACGCGATGCCGAGCGATCGTGAACAGTAACCGCGATGAAGAGAAACTATCGTCGGGACGGTCGACCCACTCGACCGTTCTTCAGCAACGGTCGACCGTTCCGGCACTTCGGCAGCAACAACAGGCTACGATCGATGGACGCAATGTCGGTCGATCATGAACAGTAGACGCAGAAAGAGTTGTTTATCTCCATAGAACAACACTTGTTCGACCACTTCTTCAAGAATGAGGGAGGACAATAAAAAACACAATATCCCGCCGGTAGACATTGAATTGTGTATGCCCACTGGCAGGGGAAGAAGCGTGTTTGAGGTCTCAAGAATTTAAAACTGGCTCCGATACCATGAAAGAATTATTTGGGAGAAAATTCTCTGTATATTGAATTGGCTTGTGAAACTGGTTTTTAATACAAAGATCTAACCCTCTTTATATAGGAAGAAGGTAAAGTAAACAAGGAAATTTCTATTTTTACTAAAAGAAGAATTAGACAAACTAGGAAAGATACTAAATACTACCTCCGTCCCACTCTCTTTGTCCACTTTTGACTTTTGGAACTTTTCATCTAAGCATTTTGACTCATCAAATTCTCTCAATGTGTAAGCCTAAATATAGTCATGTGTGATCTTGTTTGATTTGTCTTAACATATAGATTATTAATATATAATTTCTATAATTTTTTAATATACAAATTACAAGATAAAATGGATTAAAGAAGTGCATTGGATGGTGTGCCAAAAGGTAAGTGGACAAAGAGAGTGGGACGGAGGGAGTACTAAACCTAATGCAACTAGGAAAGATACTGGTGGTCCCAAAGTGGTGAGATACAAAGTCTAGAGGGGGCGGGTGAATAGACTTTGTTACAAATTTAAAATCTTTTTCGTTTCTTTTGAAAACGTGAAAATAAGTGTTAATCTAGAGTTCTTGAGAACTTTAGATTGTGTGCGGAATTTGGTGGGTAGAGTGAGCAGTAATCAATATGGATGGGTTAGTTTTCACAGTTAATGTAATTGCAAGTAAGAGTAAAGATAAAAGAGAGACACGCAAACTTTAACGAGGTTCGAAGGTGGGGTAATCCTTCTACGTCCTCAAAATCCACTATGTAGTTGGTTTTTGAATAATAAACCAACAATTACACTTGTGTGAATTTCTGCACGGTATATCTTCGCAAGACCAATGTTGCTACTGCACTCGTGCTGGCTTTGTTGTTCCTTCGAAGGTCACGCTTCTTCAACAAC